CGTGTTCTTACAGTGATAAACGGCTTGGAGCTTGAGGTTATTGATTCAAAGGATGAAGAGGAGTTTATTGAGGAGAAAAATCAACAAGTTCTACACACGTTGTTACTAAATTCTTATTTGGCCATTGACTCTTCAAAGACTACGAAGATGAGAGGTTATATTCATAATAAAGAGGTGATAGTCATGCTTGATAGTGGAGTATCTCAGAACTTCATATCACCAGAAGTTGTGGACAAGCTACGATGAAAGTTTATGCAGATAGTAGCGTGGGCGTGTTGTTGGGAAATGGTGTAACTGTGAATGCATTGAGAGTTTGCAGATCAGTTACATTCATGTTAAGTCAAACCAACTTCACAAGTGACTTCATCTCTCTTGAACTGGGAAACCTAGATGTGATACTCGGTATTTAATGGCTTGAGACATTAGGCAAATGCGAAGTAGACTGGAAGGAGCAGGTCTTTTTGTTTGTCTATGATTGGAATAAAGTGACTTTGTTAGGTGAGAAGTCCATACACTGCACTAAATTTCCATTCAAGTCGTTGAAGCCAGTCTATACAAGTAGTAAGACATGAAGAGAAGTGCTCCTTGCTACTTTTATAGCAACATCTCTGATTCCAGAAGTTCGTTCTCAACTCTTCATTATACTCCAAGAGTTTGTTGATGTGTTCGCCATACCTACTACATTACCACCTTTTTGTGGAAAAGAACACGCTAACAACTTACAACCTGTAGTAACATCTGTTTCGGTTCGGCCTTATCGCTACCCTCACGCAAGTAAAGTTGCTATGTAACAGATGGTCACTGAAATGCTTTCATCAGGCATAGTATGACCAAGTACAAGTCCGTTTTCAAGTCCAGTATTACTAGTAAAGAAGAAAGATGCCTCTCTGAGATTTTGCGTGGACTATAGAGCATTAAACTGAGCTACAATCTTGGACATATATCCTATTCCGGTCATCGATCAATTGCTGGATGAGTTACACGGTGCCTCGGTCTTTACTAAGCTGGATTTACGTTCGGGTTATCATCAAATAAGAATGGTGGAGTCAGACATTCACAAGACAGTATTCCGTACAGCGGAAGAACATTACGAGTTCTTACTTATGCTTTTCGGCTTGACTAATGCACCAACTACCTTTCAGGTGCTTATGAACAAGGTTTTCAAACCATTCCTCAGACGGTTTGTGTTGGTGTTCTTTAACGATATTTTGATTTATACCCATGATCAGAAGGAACATGAAGAGCTCTTGCAGCACGTGTTACACGTGTTGAGAGAGCAGAGTCTAATTGCTAACCAAAAGAAATGTACTTTTGCAGTTCCACGAGCAGAGTATTTGGGTCATATGATATCAGCACAAGGTGTGCCAACCGATTCTGAAAAAACTAATGCAATGAGAGCAAACAACTTCGTGGATTTCTCGGTTTAACTGGGTATTACAGAAAATTTATAAAGAATTATGGGAGCATTGCTCGTCCTCTAACAACTTTGCTCAAGAAATATCAGTTTACTTGGACTACAAAATCTCAGGTAGCATTTGAGAAACTTAAGCAGGCCATGATGAGTGCACTGGTGTTGGCATTACCTGATATCCAACAGGTTTTTGTGGTTGAATCAAATGCCTATGGTTTTGGTTTGGGAACCGTGTTGATGCAGAACAAATAACCTATAGCATTTTTCAGTCATGCCCTAACCTCTAGAGAACAGTTGAAGCCAGCGTACGAAAGAGAGTTGATGGCTATTGTTATGGCAATAAGGAAATGGAAACATTATTTGATTGGCAGGAAATTCCATGTCCACACGGATCAAAGGAGTTTGAAGTTTATGTTAGAACAAAATAAGGTCAATTTGGAGTATCAGAAGTGGCTTACCAAGTTGTTGGGTTTTGATTTTGACATCTTTTATAAACCAGGACCAGAAAACAAAGCAGCAGATGAGTTATCTCGTTCTATGAATGTGGCTACTGTGTTATTAGCTCTAACAATACCAACGGTTTTACAAGGAGAAGACATGTATAAGGAGATTCAAGATGATGAGAAGATTCAAAGGTTGATTGCAAAAATTACTACATGTGAGTTGATATCTCAGAAGTATAAGGTGATCGAAGGGAAACTGTGGTCTAAAAGGAGATTGGTCTTACCGAGTTCATCAAGGTTTATATCAGTGATTCTACAAGAAGCTCATGATGGTAAAGTGGAGGGACATTTCGGGGTTCTGAAGACATTAAAACGCATACAACGTTCTTTCTACTGGGAAGGGATGTATAAACAAGTGCATAAGTATGTGGCTACTTGTGGAATTTGCTAGACACACAAGCACTCAACTCTTTTTCCAGCAGGATTGCTACAACCTCTACCTATTCCGGAGCAAATTTGGGAAGATATCAACATGGATTTTATTTAAGGATTACCAATTTCAAATGAGTATAATATCATATTGGTGGTGATTGATCGTCTAAGCAAGTATGCTCATTTTGTGGGACTTAAACATCTTTTTACTGCATTGGATATTGCTAAGAGGTTCGTGGCAGAAGTGGCCAAGTTACATGGATTTCCAAAGACAATAACGTCTGACCGAGATAGAATTTTCTTGAGTTCTTTTTGGACAGAAGCTTTCCGTTTGGCAGGGACTAAACTTCACTATAGCACTGCGTTCCATCTACAAACTGATGGTCAATCTGAAGTACTAAATCGCTGTTTAGAGACTTAATTATTTGCGATGTTTCTCATCTTAACACCCTCGTACTTGGTATACTTACCTGGCAAGGACAGAGTTATGGTATAATACTACATATCATAAGTCAATACAGAAGAATCCTTTCAAGGTGGTGTATGGTAGAGATCCACCTCCAATACTACGTTTTGAGTCGTGGTCTACGACTAACTTTGAGATACAGATGTGGTTTTTGGTTGCTTTGAAACAAACTTTAGCTCGAGCTCAGGATATTATGAAGAACCAAGCTGACAAGTCCAGGAGGGATGTTCAGTTATCTGTGGGGGATATGGTATATTTGAAGCTTCAGCCTTATAGACAAAAGACTATGGGTCAAAGTTTCTGTCAAAAACTTGCAGAAAAGTTTTATGGTCTGTATCGAGTTTTAGTGCGAATTGGTAAAACAACTTATAAGTTACTCTTACCCCCGGAGGCTAGAATTCACCCGGTCTTTCATATATCTCAATTGAAGTTGGCGTTGGGACAACATGATCAGTGTAATGTCTTACCACCGGGAAGTATAACAGAAACAGATGAACCTATTGTACCAGAAGATGTATTGGAGAAATGTTATGATGAGAAAGGCAAGTTGGAGATGTTGGTGAAGTGGCAGGGTAAGTCATTTCTGGAGAATTCATGGCTGTTGTATCGAGATTTCATCACTTTTTTATTCTTATTACCAGTTTTGGGGCAAGCTGGATTTCGTTGGGTAAATTATTGATAGGTTCCGCAAGGCATATTACATGAAGAGAAAGGAGGAGGAAGCGTGTGAATCAAGTAGAGAGACGGTTGGAAGTTTATTGTTGGAGGAAGAGGAGAAGGTGGGACCTTTGGATTGAGAAAGAGGTTTAGAGACGAGGGAGATCTAATTCAAATAAGTAGGAAGAGTTGGAACCTTCGGTATGAGTGAGAGACTTTGATGTTACAAGTAGTTGTTGTATAAAAGATAGTTCGTTAGAACAAATTGGGTTTTATGCTTTGTATGGGTAATTGAGTAACGATATGAGTCCTCTGTTTCCAGTCACTATGAGACTGAAGAAGATGGTGATCTCGTGATGAGAGTGAACTAAATTCTAGATACAAAGCTGTAATTTTCATTTCATTGATCAATAAAGAAGTTTGCATTGCTCTTTAGTACTATAGATATCTTGAATCTATCATAAACTTAAGATAGAAAGATGATCACAAGACTGTATCTTACCTAAGAAACAGCAATCACGTGTCATGTATCGGACTTGGGATGATCTATGGGTGCAGTTACTAGATTTTTCTTGAACTAGTTTTCCGTCACACTTTAAAGTTGTACTAGTAGTTGTGTACACTATAGATTCATCAGCTTTCTTAACGGTCTATTCAACTCTCCACATTCTTGTTGTTCTTTCTAACTCTTAGTTAATGTATATAACGGTTTAAGTACTTGTTGTATTTTTTTTTTTCTATTGAACTTAGAACATCTCCAATGGTAATATCCATTAAAATCTTTAAAAAATTATTTTTTATTTTTAAATTATTATTTATTTTATTTTTCAGATAAAATAAAAAATAAAAATACCAACTAATCGCGGACCGCCACGTAATGTGGGGGCCCACATATAATGTAAGAGATTCACTAAGAAAGAATTCTTATCTAGGGATTTTAAATATTGAATTCTTAGCTTTTGGTGGAGAACACTTATTATTTAATTATTTTTTCTCTAAACACTACTCTTAAGGATTTCTACTCTTACAAGAGATTATAATCCAGCCTCCACTGCAGTTGCGTGGGGGAAATCACCAGAACCTAACTGCTTGGTTTACCTCGTACTGACAGAGTTGTCTGAATGAGATCATCAATGGTCTTCCTTGGGCATGTATTGGAAGTTTGTCTTCTGCACCTCCTGGGTCTTTAACCACAAAGCCAACAGGTGAGCTCCTTTCAGAAGCCATGCACCTGATTTCATTTAATTTGCTTGGATTACTCCTTATGATAATCATGCATAAATGAAGCAGAAGATGTGCTTAGATAAGATAATGATCACAACATGGAGGTAACTAGAGCATGTTTAAAACCCATAGGAAATGGGTGAATTAGGAGCTCCTTTTATTCTGAGTCCCTCAAGTGTTGTTAGCCTTTATGAGCCTTGGTCAACGCGACTGTTATTTGGCAGGGGTAGAAGATATGTGCTTGACCACTGTTGTATTATATCTTCTATGCATCTTGTCATGTACACTTCCAACTCCGACTTGTCAAATGGAACAACATTGCAGCCGATTACCATTTTCTGTGTGACCTAACCGCCACTTCCATCACATCTTTATTACTGTATCAATTGTCATGCGAATGGACAAGATTCATACATCAACCATATCCTTAGAGACGCAAAACACATCTTATAGATAAATGAATAATTCGTAATCCGCCACAACACAAGTCACCAAATCGAAAGCCAAACGATTTACAACTATATAATTTAAAGAGAGATATTTTTGCTTATATATCATATGTTACATGATGATATAGAAACTATTCCCATCTTAGCCGCAGCAACCCCCTCCTTGAGATGTGGATCCGTCTCTACCACCAGATGGCCCTGGGATTCCTCCATATCCAACTTTTATTCCATACGACTCATTTGACACATCAAACACACCATCTTCAATCTTTTTGTATATTGTTGCCGCTGTCTTTATGAACGCCTAGACAATATTTCAAATAAACACAACACACATCACAAACTCATGCCTAATTTAACATTTTTACTGGTGTGCAAAGGGTAGAGCAAGTAGAGGAGACTCTTGAGGAATGGACACTAGTTATACTTTCTATGTTCTATTTGTAACCAACTTAAATCCTTCTCATATATGAACTACAGAGGACACAAGAAGTTACAAAAACCTTTAAGAAATCTACGCTTAAGCCCAAACAATCACACATGGAAATGCATGGGGATTTACCTCTTCAACATTCTGAGCAGTCTTGGCAGAGGCTTCCATGAATATAAGACCATGCTCCTTTGCAAACTGCTCTCCTTCCTCTGTGGTCACTGCCCTTCTGTGGGCAAGATCAGACTTATTCCCAATGAGCATTATCGTCATATTTGCATTTGCATGCTGCCTCGCATCCTCTAGCCAGCTGGCTAGATGGTTAAATGTCTCTCTCCTGCAAACGAAGAACAATATACTGTGAGTGTTTGCCCTGCAACATTTACATTATTTCCACAAATACAAATCTAGTTCTCCTAAAGATATTTAGTGTACAAAACAATGTCAACAAAGGCAACTTAAGTGATTAGGTCAAGCTCTTGCTCAACATCTAGATTTTTTTAACATAAACACAATCCTAATTAGTTTACTACAAAAAAAAAAAAAATTAAGTTAGCATAAAAAAAAAAGACAGAACTACCACAAGTTCCACAGAAATTCTACCAATGCTAGTTCCTATCTTCAGAAAACCAAAAAGCATCTCACCATCTAGTTACTACTACACATTGCTTTAAGGATTAAGAAAAAAAAGAAGCTAGTGGTTCACCTTGTGATATCATAGACAAGCAATGCACCAGCAGCTCCTCTATAGTATGACCTTGTAATCGACCTAAATGATTCTTGACCAGCCTGCAGCAATCATCATTTCAATTAGACCTAAAAATGGATTACGAGTTTCAAGAAAATTCAAAAAAGAGAGAGACCGTATCCCAGATCTGGAGTTTGAGGGGTTTGTTATCGATGGTGATCATCCTAGCCCCAAATTCAACACCGATGGTGAGATCATGCACCGGCTGAAACCTCTTGTCCGTGAATTGAAGCAGAAGGCATGATTTCCCTACTCCTGAATTTTTCAGAAATCACATACAACAATAAACATCCTGAAAGAATGGTTGTTCATCTCAATTTCTGAAAAGAGAAAGGAGATGGAAGGAGTTTTTACCGGTATCTCCGATGATGATGTACTTGAAGAGGTAAGCGTAAGACATTGAAATCGAGTTCCCTGATCTTGCCGACGAAGAAAGACGAAGAGAGGGGTAGAATCTATTTTGTTACTATAAAGATGGGGACGGTTGATTTCCAGCGAATCCAGCGATGCATCAACCTGTATTGTCTCTCTTTACAAAACCTTTGCGTCACGTTTTATTTCAACAAAAGACGGCACGCAGTCTCCTTAATGAATAAAAATAAAAATAGATATTTCATTTGTTTCACTTTGTTGTTGTTATAGCTTTTTGCATACAGATTAAAAAAATATTTAATTTTACATATTTTTAAGATAAAAACACAATTACCTATATATTTAACCATTTTTCAACCAATAGAAAAATATAATATCATATAAAATTAACAAATTTTGTCTCAAAACTCTAAAACGACACTTATTTTAAAACAAACTAGATCTCGACCGTGCGGGTATTCTTTTTATTTATAGTTTATAAAAAAAATATATATTTACTTATAACACCTTACAAAATACTAAAATAATAGATGTTAAAATATCATTTATACAACATTAAAATATAAATTATCATTAACAAATATTTATCTATAGTATATCTACAAAAATGTTAAAATGTATTGTATGCAAATTGCAGAAACTAAAACTCTATATTAAAGAAAAATAGATAGTATTTCATTTGTTTCACGTTGTTGTTATTATACCTTTTTGCATACAAATTAAAAAAACTATTTAATTTTACATATTTTTAAGATAAAAAACACAATTACCTATATACCTAATCATTTTTCAACCAATAAAAAATATAATATTATATAAAATATGTAACGTACCCAAGGCGCAACGCCGGAATTAAACTTGACAGACTATTATCATCCTTTGAAAATTGTCGCTAAATCATAAAACATGGATCCCCTAATTACACAGTTTGCAGCTCAAACAGGTAACAGTCCTGTTGTATAAACAGAAAAGTTAACCACACTATTTACTGGAGTTTTTTTTGTTTCTGTCTTGCAGCTAACAATCATGTGGTATAGTAAATCTGAAATTTTTCATATTAAATTGCTGAAAGAAAAGAGGTGAAGGCCTAAGAACAGGATTAACCTAGTACGGTTTAGGTGATTCTTTTTTTCTGTCTAATAAAAAAAAATTTAAAATAAACTAGTTGTAGACCACCACGTGTCAGTAGAACCTGCAAATAGTGCAAAAACCAAGTTAAAGTCGCTCTTTACAGAAGGCACAGAAGACATGATTTTTATAAAAATCTTGGGACCCGCCCTTTAAAAACCTATTTAAGAGAAAGGGTTAATCCTACTCTAAGTTGAATTAGTGCGACCCAGTAAATTGTTGATAGAACAAATTACTAAGCCTAAGACATTAAAATGACAGATGAACCAGTTGCAGACGAAGGTGGAAAGTTTGCATGTTGAGTTCTACTAAGATGGTGACAGAGATGGGTTGCGCGGTTAATTTGAAAGGCAAATCTGCATTAGGCGCGAAGAGAGAGAGAGAGAGATGGTTAGAGTCGCAGTAGCTAAGATCCAACCAACTTCTATTTACCCATCTTGCATCCTCCAACTTCGAGGGGTATTATGGTCAAATATTTTTAACTACATTTTTTTTTAATAAACAGTATAAATACGAGAGCATTTTAAAGTTATGGTTTGTAATTCTTAAACATAGTCAAGAAGAACTAAAGCAAGAAGTCTTTTCTTCTGACGATTCTGTAACAATCCAATACCAGGCCCAAAAAATTCATAAGGTAAATGGGCGTGTCTATTGTCCATTAGGATTAAAACCGTAGGGTTGTCTCCTTTCCCTATAAAAAGAGGCTGCTTCCTTCTCTTTTTCTGGATTCACAAAACTCGAAGCGAAGCTCTGCAGAGAATCCCGGAGACACGAAAACCCTAGCCGTCAAGGCCTTCTTCTCTCTCTCTCTCTCGCGCCCTCCTTTTTCTCTTTCTATTCCGCGCGCCTCTCTCTTTTTCTCTCTCCTCACCGACTCCTTCTTCCTCTCTATCTCTTCACTGTGCGTGTGGTGGTGGTGGTGGTGGCTGTAGCTGTGTGGTGTGGTGTGGTGATAAGGGTTTTTAAGCCTTATGCAAATCAAAGTAGTATTTTAGATGTCAATCCAAGTTCTAAGTGTTTTGAAACAAAGAGATTACAAGTTATGCTTAATCTAAATGCAATCAGTTTTGAGAATGTCAAATGATTCAAGAACAATATAAAATGCAACAAGTAACAAACTTTCCCTCAATTAGTGAAGGCTAGACTCATGAGAATAGGTATTTGGTTTAGGTGATCAAGTTCAATCTAAAAATGGCAAGCTTTCAATCAAAATGTTTCCTTAAGTCTAAACAACAAAGCTAAGCAAATTCTAGGTCTATACAATTGCTCATTTGCTTTCATTAATCAAACACAAATGGTCATTGGCTTAATTAATTCAAGCAATCATTAGGATTAAGTTTAATAACTATCTAAAACTTCCTAGATACAAATGATCATTGGCTAGGTAGTATTAAAGCTAGATGAGTTGGTTCAGACATTTAAACAAACACATTGTGGGTGGTTAAAGTCTAATGATCAAGATTAAGGAGGCCAACACTAATCAAGCATTAAAATCACTCATCTAACAAGGAAACACAAGGATCTAACACCTAACACTTTATATCTACACTTAATCACCCTCACCAACCTATCCCATGAATCTAAAATGGATCTACTCATTAATACTCATGATTAACCTAACAACAATGATTGATTGTTGGTTAAACATGATTAGAGATCAAGATTACTCAACAACCTCAAGAGAATAAGATGAAAAGAAGATAAAGTTATGATCTTTCACCAATAAGTTCTTAGGTTTAGAGAAAAAAATACAAGATAAGATTCCCAAAATGATGTTTAAGGGTATTTATACTAATCTAAAATCGAACTGGGCCAACCCAACAAACCTAAGCTGGCCCAAACAAAAGAGGTAAAAAGTCTGGTCAAACTCAGAATCTTGACTTTTTCAACGCACACAGCGGCCTAGGGAGGCCGCTGCAACATGCCGCTGCAGTGTCTCAGCGGCCTTTTGCTCAGCTTCAAGCCGCTCCCATTGGCCGCTGCCACACTTAGCTCCCATTTCCATATTTTCGGTGTCATTTGGCCGCTGCACTTTGCCGATATTGAACAGGGACTTGGCTAATTAATTGCTCGAAAATGTACTTTGGCCGCTGCCTAAAACCGCCCCCACTAGCCACTGGGGTACTTAGCCTCACAGAATGTTTTGCAGCAGCGGCTTCTCGACATCGTTGCTAGGCCGCTGCGAGATCTTTATGCCGCTGGGGCACTTCATCTGGACTCACATTCGAACATCAGCTAGTCTTGTCCTTAAAACACTTCCCAAAGCTCCAAAGTAGTCATTTTGCATCTTTCATACCTGATAAAGACATATGCAATGAAAATGCATCCTAAACAAGTCTAAATGAAGTCCTAAATGAACAAAAACAAACAAGATAAAAGGGTTAAAACCATGCAAATATGCTATACATCAACTCCCCCAAACTAGTCATTTACTTGTCCTCAAGTGAATTTAGATAAACAATAAGAGGAAGGGGTTTGAAAATGGAGACTCATCACCAAAAGGAACTCTTCCTAGACATCACCATGACATCCTTTCATAATCATACCAAATAGCAAGAGCAAGCACTGAATTTAACTCTAACTTCTCAAGGCCTATACTAACTCCTTTGTTCTCTACACCCATCATCAAGAATCCACATACTACAAATCAACCAACCCTCACATTCATTAGCATAAATAAAAGTGAATTCTTGCAAATGGTCAAATGGTCCAAATCATTTGGTTTGGTAGAAAAAGGCTTGAAGTGGAGATATATAAAGAAAGTTATGATGATCTTTGTGGTGACTTACTCTCTAAAAATCAGTAGCTTTGCCATTATGCATAATATATCTAAGAAAATGAACAACTCATGCATACAATGATCAGTCTCCATTGTTCTACCCATTTCCTAAATATGAATAAAAGCTACCCTTTCTCTACAATCTCAAACTCATTTTTCATTCACCCAAAGATTTCTCAACCACTCAACACCACTTCTAAACTTAAACTCATTTCTTTTGACATCAACTAGGGATACTTTCATACTATCTTTTGCTCTCTTTTTTTTTTTATTAGCTCTCTCTTTGTTTTCTTTTTGAAACTACCCCATTCTTATTCATACTATGTATATATATATATATATATATATATATATATATATATATATATATATATATATATATATATATATATATATATATATATATTTTTTTTTT